GGCGCTCCCTCAGCACTGACCATCAGACAGTGCGGCACTCCCTCAGCACTGACCCTCCGACAGTGCGGCGCTCCCTCAGCACTGACCCTCCGACAGTGCGGCGCTCCCTCAGCACTGACCCTCCGACAGTGCGGCACTCCCTCAGCACTGACCCTCCGACAGTGCGGCACTCCTTCGGTACTGCAGTGGAGTGTCTGTTTGGGTTTGCTGCTTTATGGAACTCAGATCCATCATGTTTTGTCTCAAGAGTGTTGCCAGCAGAACTGGGGGCATGGTCCTGAACGGGTTTACACCTTAGAAAGAGGGGCAGTGCGTATTAGAGTTTGAATTAATTTGTTCTCATTCAGTGGTCTAAAAGATACTGCTTGTTCACTTAAGAAGCTGTTAGGCAATTTCTGTCAAGAAAATGTAGAACAACTGACCTCTAACAGCGACTTTAATGGAATATATTGTCAGAGACTGTCAAAATCATTTCCCTGGAGGTAAGCTTTGTAATGCATTTGGGAGTTTGATGGAGGAGGGTAGGGATTGTAATGAGCTTATTAGGGACAACTTGGGATGCTTCACATAACACACTCATTAAGCAGTTTAGGCTGGCACTGATATCCAGGAACATGATATGAATTCAAGATAACTAAAAGTACTGCATGTGCGAGAGCCCTCTGTCTTCTCCCCTCATTAACTGAAGCTGAGTGTGATGAGATGGCCAAGAGGTTAAGGTAATGGGCAATTATTCCATTGTGTTCTACACAGAGTCATAGAGACGTACAGCATGGAAACAGACCCTTCGGTCCAACTGGTACATGCTGACCAGATATCCCATATAAATCTAGCCCTATTTGCCAGCATTTGGCCCATATCCCTCTAAACCCTTCCTACACATATACCCATCCAGATGCCTCTTAAATGTTGTAATTGTACCAGCCTCCACCACTTCCTCTGGCAGCTCATTCCATACACACACCACCCTCTGCATGAAAAAGTTTCCCCTTAGGTCCCTTTTAAATCTTTCCCCTCTCACCTTAAACCTATGCCCTCTAGTTTTGGACTCCCCTACCCTGGGGAAAAGACCTTGGCTATTCACCCTATCCATGCCCCTCATGATTTTATAAACCTCTATAAGGTCACCCCTCAGCCTCTCACGCTCCAGGGAAAATAGCCCCAGCCTATTCGGCTTCTCCCTATAGCTCAAACCCTCCAGTTCTGGCACCATCCTTATAAACCTTTTCTGAACCCTTTCAAGTTTCACAATATCCTTCCTATAGCAGGGAGACCAGAATTGCACACAATACCCCACAAGTGGCAGAATTAATGTCCAGTATAGCTGCAACATGACCTCCCAACTCCTATACTCAATATACTGACCAATAAAGGCAAGCGTACCAAACGCCTTCTTCACTATCCTATCTACCTGTGACTCCAAGGAACTATGAACCTGCACTCCAAGGTCTCTTTGTTTCAGCAACTCTCCCCAGGACCTTCCCACTAAGTGTATAAGTCCTGCCCTGAATATCCTTTCCAAAATGTGGCACCTAACATTTATCTAAATTAAGCTCCATCTGCCACTCCTCGGCCCATTGGCCCATCTCAGCAAGATCCCGTTGTACTCTGAGGTAACCTTCTTCGCTGTCCACTATACCACCAATTTTGGTGACATCTGCAAACTTACTAACCTATGACCGCGATTCAGATGGAAGGTAGAAGCTCAGATGCAAGTGGCCAGAATTGGATGGAGCATAGAGCTCGCTACAATGTCTGACGGATTCCTAGAATATTATAGAATCCCGACAGTGTGGAAACAGGCCCTTCGGCCCAACAAGTCCACACCGACCCTCAGAGCATCCCACCCAGACTCATCCCCCTATAACCCACCCGATTGTCCTTCTTCACCTTCCAGTCCCTTCTTTCTTTCTTTGTTTCCTTCTTTCTTTCTCTTGTTCCTTCTCCCTTTCGTTCCTTTCTTTTCTTTCTACAGGATCCAGCAGATCTATTCTCTCACACTGCCCAACTGATGCAGTTTCCTGACAGAACATGATGTTTCTTTTCCATGTAATGTACACAGCAGGCCTGTGCATTGACTCGAATGAGGCAGCTGTAAATTACTTGTGTCTCTACCAAACAAGTAGAATCCTGTTCCAGGCTCTGGAAAGTGCCGCAGGAATTCTACCTCCACTTGAGGCTGACAAATTTAACAAGTGTGCGTGAGACACACAGTTCGTTTTTTTTTTGAGGAGCAGTTATGCAAACTGGACATGTTCCCACAGGTAAAGAGAAGGCTGAGAGGGGACGGGATTGCTGTCTTTTTAGACTTCCAAGAACAGAATAATGTGACAAGCTGTTTCACCTTCTCCAATGCAAGAGCACATCCACAGGGTATGGCCTGCACTTAAAGGAATTAGATTTAAATTGGATTGATGCAGTCAGTATTCCGGGAAACAAGTGATTAATATATGTAACGGGAGCCCTGAGGGAGAATTCATTTAAATATCAAAGGATTCCACTATTACTGAGAAGGCAATGTGTTGTAAGAGTTATACAGCACAGAAATAGACCCTTCGGCCCGACTCGTCCATGCCAACCAGCTTTCCTCAACTGAACTAGTCCCATTTGCCTGAGTTTGGCCCATATCCCTCTAAACCTTTCCTATCCATGCACCGGTCCAAATGTCTTAAGTATTGTAATTGTACCAGCCTCTCCCACCTCCTCTGGCAGTTCATTTCACACACGAACCACCCTCTGTGTGAAAAAGTTGCCTTTTGGGTCCCTTTTAAATCTTTTTCCTCTCACCTTGAAAATATATGGTCTCGATTTGAACTCCCCAACCCTAGAGAAAAGGCCTTTGCTATTCACCTTATCTATGCCCTTCATGATTTTATAAACCTCTAAGAGGTCACTCCCAACCTCATATGCTCCAGGGAAAAAAATTCCTAGCCTATCCAGCCTCTCCTTTATAACTCAAACCCAGGAATATGCTTGTAAATCTTTAGTCATTTCCAATTTAGTCATTTTGTATTGCACCTCATCAGGACAAACACAAGAGTGCAAAGTTTGTAAGGCTCACACCAATTTATCCTGCAGGACAATAGGGTGTCAATCGGTTGACAAATTGACCCTCATTGGCTGAGGTGTTGCTAGGGAGAAATCAAATCTATTTCTTTCTGTAGAAAACATTCAGAACCCAGTATATGAAATAATTTGAAATGTGACCTGTAGGGAGCGTGGATTGGGAGGAGTAAATGTCTTTGGATTGATGGTTTCCAAAGCTCTCCCTCGATAGGGTATTTCCCCTGCTCAATCCTGCATCTACTGTTCATTTGTGATCACTGTGTTTGGTAAATAGCTCCATTATTGTTACCTAGGAGGATGGTAGAAGGTGGATAAGCTGCATTGTGCTTTTAATGCTTTTAGTTATGAGCTTAAGTTGCATTGTGGAGGTTTCAGTACATAGCCCAAGCTGATGTTGCAGTGCCGTACTGAATTGAAGGAGTGTTGCGCTGTTGGAGCAGCTGGTTACAAATATGGCCTGTCGACCAAGGCTTTATTTGCCTCATCAGGTGGATGTTATTGATTCCCATGTGCACCATCTTCAGGGAGGGTAGGGGATTTTTTTTGTCTGGTGACCTCTCCTGGCCGGCTGACTCCACAGCGAGATCAAGATCCCTTTGGCACGGAGTGATGGGCTATCCCACCTCCTCTTTCAATCAGCCGACTCTTAAGTACAAGTCGTTTGTTCATCTCATTGCTTTTGGGATCATTTTGGGCTCAATGTTCCGAGCCTGCCTTGACCAAGCATCCCAATGAGACACGTTCTCCCTCTGCCCATAAGCCCCCTCCTCCCACACCCTCCACTGCTCAATCACCTGGGATAGGCAAAAAAAAGGTCAAAATAAAACAGAAGCCAATGAGCTAGGGAGAAATTCTGAAAAATGTTTTTAATTCTTTCAGGGAGAAGGGGGTGTCACCAGCTGGACCAAAAAACATTTATAGTCCTACCCTAATTACCCCTGAGAAAGTGGTGGTGAGCCACCATCTTGAACCACTGCAATCTTTGGGGTATAGGTCACCCGCAGCAATATTAGGGAGAGAGTTCCAGGATATGGACCCAGAGACATTGAAGGATGGGCCAATATATGTCAGGAAACCCCTCCACCCGTCCCTCTGGTGTCACTGTTGGAAATCTCTGGTGACTGTCCAGTTTACCTCCAACACAATCCAAAAACTAATTCACCATGTGAGCTGCCTTGAAATTCTTCTATTATGAAAGATCCCATACTGGTCCGTCTACTGCTCTATGTCATCCTTCGAGGAGGAGTGGGAAGGGGTTTGGAGAATAACCTGAACAGAGCAGTGTTTATCCTGACCGCCATTGATATTAAAGACAGAAATGGCTGGAGAAATTCAGCAGGTCTGGCAGCATCTGTGGACAGTAGGCAGAGTTAATGTTTCAAGGCTAGTGACCCATCATCAGAAACAAGGTTCTAAAGGAGGGTCATGGGAGCCAAAACATTAACTCTGATTTCTTTCCACAGATGCTGCCAGACCTGCTGAGCTTTTCCAGCAATTTCTGTTTTGGTTACACGTTTCCAGCTTTTTGTTTTATTTTATTGATTGAGAGTAGTCACTTTGGAATAAACGGCTAAAGGGCATTTCCCTAGATTGATTAAACCCCAGCTCTACACCTTGGAGTAACATCAGAAACACCCAGGTTTAATTTTTTATTCTCTCATGGGGATGAACGGACCAGCATCTACTGTCTATCTCTAACTGCCCCAGAACGGAGCGGCTTGCTGGGTCATTTCAGAGGGTATCTGACAGCCAACCACATTGCTGTGCATCTGGATTCATATGTAGGCCAGACCAGGTAAGGATGGCAGACTTCCTTCCCTAAAGGACAGTAGTGAACTGAATGGGTTTTTACAAAGATCAATGATAGTTGTCATGGGCGAGCCTCTCCCTCTAATGGATTAACAGTTTAAAACTCCCAATCAAAGATGAAGCACAGGAGCTTGAGAGGTGACCTTATAGAGATTTATAAAATCATGCGGGGTTATAGATAGGGTTAATGGTATGTATCCTTTCCCTCGGGTGGGGGATTTCAAGACTGGGGGGACATATTTTTAAGGTGAGAGGAGAGATATTTAAAAAAGACATGGGGGCAACTTTTTTTTTCACAGAGGATGGTTCAAATATGGAATGAATTTCCAGAGGAAGTGGTGGATGTGGATACATTTACAACGTTTAAAAGACATTTGGATAAGTACGTGAATAGGAAAAGTTTGGAGGAATATGGGCC